GGGAGGCGGCGGAGCAGCAACCGCCGCGGCCCTGTGGGCCAGAGGGGCCTGTGAGGGGCACGGGCTCCAGGAGCCCCTTCCCCGGGGAGGGAGCCTCGAGCCGCCGGTGTGAACAGAGCTCCCGAATGCGGGTTTTGCTTCTGAAAATGAAACCAGGAAGGATCCCAGCTCGTCTGACAGCCTCATCAGGCCTGGCCTGTTTTGCAGAGTGCTTAACCCTTGCTGTAGCGTGAGCAGGAAAGGAGCAGCTCAGCCTCGAGCTTTATAGTTCATTTGTAGTTAGTGTGGTGCCAAAAACACCTGTTTGCTGGCACTACGGGTTAGCCCAAAACCTAGGGATACCTGGAATGCTGTCCAACAGGAAAAATGCTATGCTGAGCCTGGAATAAAGTCAGCATCGCCAGCCCAGTGGCATCTAAAAGCAGTTCTCCCAAGCAGTGGCTGCTGTCAGCTCAGTAAACTGCTTGGCGTTCCCTGATGTTGGGAAGAAGGTGGGGAAAACCCTTCAAACCAGCTGGCTCTATACCTGAACTTGCGCTTTTTTAAACCCAACAAGTCCTAGAAGGTTATAGTAGTGAGTTGGCCCCGTGTAGCTGCGGTTTGCAGCCAGCGGTGAGCACCGCTGCTCGGGACGGGGCTGGGATGGCCCGAGAGCCCCTTGGCTGGGGAGGAGGTTTCGCTTGGGCCACGAAGCCGCTTGCAGGGAGGAGCAAACGCTGGTGTCACGAGTGGAAGAGGAGCGAGAGGGCAGGGCCGGCCGCTCTGGTGTCAGGGCGGGTGTCCCGGGTGAGTAATGGAGGAAGCTGCTTCAAAGCAGGCTCTGGAAAGCTGTTTTTTCCCTGCAGTTGCTGTAAATAAGTGATGTCATGTTTTATCTAGCTATTCTGGGTGCTTGAGCTGAAGGGTGCTTGAATGAATAACCTGGAAGTATCAGATTTCCGGCTTTAATTTACCTAATTCACCTAACCTGTGTTTGTGAACAGATCACTAAGTGGTGATCTAGGTTTAAAGCAAAGAAACATAAATGTGAGCAGCCATAAAAATCAAATAAATAATAAATCATGGACTTAAAAAAATACAAAAAAAAAACCCTTCAAAAAACGCAAATACTTCATAATGTTTAGCTTTATGTGATTTCATTTAACTGTTAAGCATCATATTGATGCATTCTTCTTTTTGGGATATATACAAAAAAAAAACCCTTCAAAAAACGCAAATACTTCATAATGTTTAGCTTTATGTGATTTCATTTAACTGTTAAGCATCATATTGATGCATTCTTCTTTTTGGGATATGGCAAAAAAAAAAAACCTTCAAAAAACTCAAATACTTCATAATATTTAGCTTTATGTGCTTTCATTTAACTGCTAAGCATCACATTGATGCATTCTTCTTTTTGGGATATGGAAAGGAGAAAGCTTTATGTATTTCTACATTTCTTTCACGCCACTTCATTTCTGTTTGGGAAAGGCTATTTGAGAACTTTTATTAACAAGATTTTAAATCTGTGCTTTTTGGGGTTTCTTTTTTTGGCAATACATACTTATTCTCCCTCACTAACTTTTTAATATAAATGATTCTTCATTGTGATGAAGTCTTGTTCTGTGATCATCTTAGATCTTGTAGCTTTAGCAGGACTTGAGGGAAACAAAAACCTTTTTGTGCTGTTTCTTTTTCCCCAAGTTTTCCTTGCTGACTTCAGATGTTCTTTCCCAAAAAGTCAGCTGACAGGATTATCAAGATGCTCCTGAATCACTTGAGTGCCCCAGCTGGGAGGCTGCTCCAAAAAGGAGCTCCGTGAGCAGTATAAACTCGAGATCCTACTGGTGCTTGACAGGACAGTCCTGTCTGCAGGTTGGCCCGTTAATGCTGCTCTATAAATGTTTTTCATGTTTGGGGGAGATGTTTTTTGATCTGAACCTATTTCTGTGACCTTACCTTTTAGCACTTAAATGATAATGGGTGCTGTAAGTGTGAAACAACTGGTAGATCTCCCTGTTGTGAGACTTTCAAGGGTTTACTTAAAGCACATCCTGCGAGTTTTAATATGATTAAGGAGGAAATGGAATATGTGTTAGGTTTGGTGGTGAAATGAAAGCAAAATACACTACAGAAGTATTGATCCTGTTCTTGGACCCTTAACTTGTGCTGTAGAACACCTCTTCAACTTGAAGTTTGCTGCAAAAGAACTTAGCAGAAACTCAAAAAAATGCGATAAAGAAGAAAAGGCCGAAAAGGCTAAAATTAAGAAGGTAAGCAGTGAATTTGAAAACATGCTTTTAAAATCTGTTTATGTATTACAGCAGAAAATTCTGGTTTTTTAATCATCTTTGCTGCTCTTCATGCACATACTGTTGTGATATATGCTTGTGATTTAAGTTTATGTGACTATAAAACTTAACATACATGTTAAGTATAAGGATGTACCCTTTATAAACAGTTTGTGGCATTTATTTCCTTAGAAAATTGTCTAGAATGTGTTTTGATAGAGACTACATTCTTCCCAAAGCTACAAATGTTTTACCTTAATGATCTCATCATTTGGTTTTAGAAGTGCTTATGAAGAAAAACCTCAAAATAGTTTGTCCTTGAAGTAGTAAAGAGCCTAAATTTATTTAACTTTTGTCTATGAAATATAGTCATGCTAATGGTATCTGTATTTGGTAGTTAATACTGAAAACATTTCTAGGAAAAGGGAATTTTTTTTACCTCCTGTAAAACCCCCTGCTTAAAGTGCATGTCAGATATCTCTATCCTGGGAAAGGGGTTAGGTGTTCACAACTTAAATTGGAGAAACTGTTGCGGATTTCCACCCTCATCCCCCTGCTTTCATGAAAATATTGAGATGGATTAATGCTTATATAAAAAATGAAATAGGCCTTCCAGAAATCCTGTTTACAGAGTCCAGGGGAAGTTAAAATGCGGGTGTTTGTTTTAAAAGGCAATCCAGAAGGGTAACATGGAAGTTGCACGGATACATGCAGAAAATGCCATCCGACAGAAGAACCAAGCTATTAATTTCTTGCGCATGAGTGCCAGGGTGGATGCTGTAGCAGCAAGAGTTCAGACTGCAGTGACGATGGGCAAGGTAAGGCTGTTTTTTAATTTGAATTTGTGGCAAGGACAGGACCTCCAATCTCTAAGTGTCTTAATTCTACCCATAATGAGCTGAAAAAGTTTTGGGTTTAGATGCAGTCAATGGTGAATCGGGAAATGGAGTTCTACTGAAAGTTCCCGTTTAGAAATTAATTGCTCCTCACTGTCTAGTAGCTTGTAACCTTAGTTGGCTCTTAACTGCTCGTGCTGCTAATGATACAGGGCCTTCCCTAGTTAGGCTGTTAAGGTTATTGTGAATACTCCTCCTTTCACTTTCCAAATGCGTAAAGTCATAAGACTTCTTGATTCTAGAAACCTTTTTAACTCATGTAATCTGTTATGGTCATACACTACTGTCCTGCTCTTCAGGCAAAGTTTATTCTATCCCCTAATAAGTACTTCATATCCAGCTCTTGACACTTACCAACTTGAGACTCTCTAGCATGCCATAGAGATCTCTCTCTTTAGTGAGTTTCAGCTCAGAACATTTATCACAAATGAATGAGTTAATCTGTAAACTCCGGAAATATTAGGAGGCATCAAAAAAAGGTGAAGGCTCTGGATAGCAATAATGCTTGCCCAACTAATTGGTATTGTAGGAGCTCTTGGATAGAGAAGAGTTTATTTATAAACTGTTGTCCCCTGCCCTCACCCCTCCCCTCCTTTTTTTGATAACAGAATTTTCTCTACTATTTTTATCTCATTTCAGGTAACAAAGTCAATGGCAGGGGTAGTTAAATCTATGGATGCCACACTGAAGAGCATGAACCTGGAAAAGGTAAATATAAACTTACTCTGTTTGGGAGTGCACACAGAAAGCACTAAAGGCAGTGGATGGAAGTTTTACATAAAAGGGATGGTCTAACGAAGTATAAGGAAAATCTTTTGGCAGTACTGGACCCTGGAACAGGTTGCTCAGAGTGGTTGTGGAGTCTCTGTCCTTGGAGATGCTCCGAACTTGGCTGCACAGGGCCCTGAGCAGCCTGCTATAACTTCAAAGTTAAGGTCACTTCATATTTGGTCCTGCTAGAGGGGCTGGGTGAACATGACACCAGATGAGCTGCAGAGGTTGCGAGTGGTCCTAGTTATTGCGTGATTACAGCTTTGCCTGCTGAGAAGGCTTGCTCTTCCCTTACCTGCAGATCCCTGACTGAATTCTTATTCTTTGTAGATATCTGCACTAATGGACAAATTCGAGCATCAGTTTGAAACATTAGATGTTCAGACACAACAGATGGAAGACACAATGAGCAGCACTACTACGTTAACGACGCCACAAGTAAGAATGTAGAAATAGTGTCTGCTTCTCTCTCTACCCACTTGGCTTTTCCCTACGGCTTTGTACTTTGTGATTTAGGAGCTAGTTCAAAAATATAGAGAATCACATATTTGTATTGTGTTCCCTTTCACCCCTACTGCAGCCTTTATATTAAATACTGGAAGTTTCAGCCCTTCTATTGAGTAGGCAGTATTTTGGTGAGTTCTTAATGAGTTTTAGAGCCAAAAGATGCTGCAGATTCAGTTATGAAAGCAAAATGTACTGTGAAATAATCAGCCATTCTAAATCTCTGATATCAACAAAATGTTAGTCACCAATGAATTTAGCAGTAGCGTGTGCAGTGAAAAGATTAATTACTTGTTTTGAGTCAGATAAGTGTTCACTAAAATAAATTCTTAAGCAGTGCTTAAGAGAGTCCCTTTCAGAAAAATGTTATTTCAATAGAGAAATGTTCTGGCTATTATGGTTTGTAAATAAGTACACTTAAATCCGTAACCAATAAATCATATCTGTTGGATATGAAGGGTTTTCTTTTCCATGTTATGCAAAACACTGGGTTAGTGGTTAATAATTAGCAGTTGATAATACTTATCATATTAAAGTACACATTATTTTTTCCTACATGTAAGCTTCATTCTATAATAAGCATCATGGTTCAGAAGTTGAAATTTGAGTAATGGGAATTTGACAAGCTGAGCTGTGCTGGTGTTTTTCAGTTCATATAGTGCCCTCTGGTGCTTCAGTACAGAGTTGTGCAAAGATGTTTCCCTTTAAATTGATTTTCTGACAAATAATTTCTCACAGCTTAGTGGAAGAATTTGTCACAAGCTACAACATGATACTGATTGAATTTTTGTTTCTCTAATTTAGAACCAGGTGGATATGCTTCTACAAGAAATGGCAGATGAAGCAGGGTAAGTAACATGTTTGAGTGAATATGGCTTGAATAAATGTCAGTTCCAGCAACACTTCAAGGTTAACTCTGAGCTGGAGCACATAAGAATTCTCCTTTCACCTTTGGACATTGTTCTTGTTTTTATTGCTATTATTTAATTTTGCTTCCATTCAAAGCTACTTCCATTCAAATGCCAGCGTGCAGAGGAGGTTGTGTCGAAGGCTATTCTAACACTAGCTCACTTGTCATGTCAGGATTGCCTTTTATTACTTACTTGGATTGGCTTTAGCATCAGCAATCATTAGCAACATCTCTTCACTCTTACCCCTACTCCCTCCAGAACTCCCCATTAAAATTTGCACTAGTTCTGCTTTACACATTGCACAAATGGATCATCATTATTTATGTAAAACTTTGGAGTTTTGTGGAGTATTTCAGAGAACTTTACTTGCTCTGTTGGTGACACATAACTTGGAAGTCTCACTTTGGTTTGAAGATGAAAACTCTTGGCAAATTCTGCAGAGACTTGTCGATTTCATATCTTTTTGTCATTCATGTACATGCTGTTTCTAATGTGCCTTTGTTAAACAGAAGTTTTGGTCAGCCCTGATTAAGGAGAATTTATTTATCTGTTGCTAGTTATAGTAAAGGATTTCCTTTTGGTGATAAATCATATTTTCTTTTCAAATTACATATGCATACACATATATTTCTGTGTTCAAGAGACAAATGACCCCGTGTTATCTCAAATATTATGCCATTTGTCAATCTGTGTTCTTCCTTTAAGCTTGTATACCTGACTCCTTTGTATTTTGTTTTATTAACTGCAGCCTTGATCTGAACATGGAACTACCTCAAGGACAGACAGGTTCTGTTGGTACAAGCGTTGCCTCAGCAGAACAGGTAAATACTAGGTTCAGTAGGAATTAATCCTTTCTAGTTAAGCACAGTATGAGAATTAATGCTTTACTCAGTCAAAACAAGCTTACTAAATTCTGATCAGATTGTATCTGTCCATAGTAAAGTCCTAGTGGAAGTCTTTAAAAGCAACATAATTTTAACAGTATGTTTGCCTGCTGAGTAAATACAGTAAATTTCTAAATTTCTGATGCAGTTTTGCATGGTGTTTCACAGAGTTCAAACTGTTTGTCCTAGCTAATAAATCCAGCCACTTCCCAGCTAGCCCTTTTTCTTCTCCCTGTAATGTGTAAAAGATCTGAAAGAAGTAATGCCCAGGAGTCTATTTGCTGTAGATGAGTAACTTAGAATTCCTGTGCATGGGCACGTTTTGAGGTAAGATTGCACAGATACTGAAGAGTTGCTTTTTCCATGCTGGGGAATATATTTGAGGACATGCAAGGCAAGCAATTTACTGCTGAAATCCTGTTGTACTGCACAAGGCTCTAGGGGACTCTTAACTGAAATGTGTTTGAGATGCCACAAGTTCCAAGATCTTTGAAGGTTCATCTTCACCTTGTCTAGATGCTCTGAAAAAAGTTCTATCTGCTACTATATCCTCCTAGCACTACCAGCCTCGGTCACTTGAGGGTGCAGCTGGGCTTCTTTTCACTTCTGAAGGATTCCATTCTGATTTACATTTGCAGAGATCACACCTCAGAATTATCTATACTTGATATGGTCCTCATTTCTAGGTATCTGCTGTTGGAAACAGTGATAGCTCAATGGAGCTGTGGTCTAATGCAGTCTAGCTACTCTTGACAAATCTTGTTACGACTTGTACAAATGTATTTCATACATCTTGACATGAAATTGCTTCACTGTTGCAAAACTTCACAACAATTAATTTTCATATTACTCTTTTTTCCCTTTTCTCTTTTTCCGCACTTCTGCAGGATGAGCTGTCACAGAGCATTGCAAAACTTTGCAACAATTAATTTTCACATTACTCTTTTTTTTTTCCCTTTTCTCTTTTTCCACACTTCTGCAGGATGAGCTGTCACAGAGACTGGCCCGTCTACGTGATCAAGTTTAAGTTAATCAGAGCTGCAGTTCTTTGTACATGCTTTCAAAATACCCTTAATGTAACTAACACTGCACTACACTAGAAAGGTGTATATAGTGTGGCTTTCGTGTTTAAATACTTGTAAGATATGATACTCCACTCCTAGCTTGCTCTTCTTTCTAAATACATCAGGTAATTCAAGTGTATCAGCTCTCTATTTTCTGTACATTTTGAAGTTGATGTATTTTTTGCAAGCTCTTTCATAAAATCAAGCAGTAATGTTGGTACATTCTAGCTGAAAGAAAAGCAGAGTGTCTTTGATATATTTTAAATTATGAGGTGAATTTTTTAAATTATGAAGACTGTTTATGGTTGGAGAATTGATGTATTCAGTTCAGATGATTGCTATTTCTAGCCTCCTTAAACAGCCAGGCTCATTTAACACCCACTGGGGGACAGTGTGGGCTTCATGAATATACACATATTAAAAAAAATAAGTGAACTTCAGTCTGTAGAGGATTTTTTTTTGCTTTGTTTTTGTTTTTTAACATTTTAAATCTACAGTAATAATGCCAAAACTAATGGTTCGGTTACCAAAAGCTGTTTTCTTATGACTGGGAACTTGTATGGTGTCATCACTTTAGCTACAGGAGGAATAAAATATATTTTCCAACACTTTGTCAGATCTGTTGAATGCTATCTCATGGTTTAATGCTGAGTTTAATGCTTCAGCTTCTCCACTTTGCCATCTTCTCAGCAGTGTGGGGTGCAGTCAGGTAGGCCACTCACCCCTCTTTTCTTCTGTGTTACTCTTTCCTTTTCATGTAGACACTCTTTTTATATGCAATGAGAAGCCTTATTAGAGTATTCTGCATTTTAACAGTCATGTGTGAAAAATAGAGCAGTCCTGCTGGCGTTCAGGTCTTCACAGTCCCCCTTGGTGACTCCAGGTGCCAGCGCCGTCTGTGCTAACCAGGATGCTCCCTTGCAGCAGCTTTCCCTTCTCAGCCTCCTGCAGGTGACACCAATTTTTAAGTACAATGTTGGGGAGAGTGAGGTGAGGAGTGGGTGAGTGCATCCTGCTGCCCTGCCAAAGGGGCAGGCTGTGAGATTCCTTCAACATAGCCAGTGGATTTGGGAGGAGCTGCTCTTTGTAAGACACAGGACTGCTCTCTGTGGACGAGATAATGTGACAGGTGCTGCCTCTGTGATGGAGAAACTAGTTCTAGTTATTCCTTTAACCTCTCGTGTTTCTGCGCAGCAAGGGGGAATATACTGACCTCTTTCAGTAGCTTCAAACTCTTCCTGCAGTTGTGGAGAAACAATGGGAAAAATTGGATGCTGAAACTACTAGTGTTATGGTAAATAGCATTGTAAACATTTTTTTCCCCTGTCTCCTTGGCCTTAGTCTTTTGTTTTATTTAGGGGTTCGAAGAAGGTAGGGAGCTTTAGAATAACAATTAACTCTGAATTCACTGGTCTTTAGGATCACGTGGTCTTTCTAATGTTGTAGGAGTGTTTGTGTAAGAAACTGCTTGGCTTTCTTAGTCACGCAGGATTGTTTTAGTGAAAGTGTACAGGAATGAGGAAATATTTCAGAACAGTTTCAGGCTGTATTTTGAATGTGTTATTCAAGCCAATGTGAAGCTTTAGCAGGTTGTTACATAATGAAGCATTGAAAACTGCTGTAAAAATAAAAAACTAAGAAATATTGGCTTTTTTCCACATTTACATTTATTTTCAGTGCAGTTTTCTTTTAAACATCTTTAAATCTTGTATTTCCTCTCATTTAGAGGAGGAACATGTTATAAACCATATACTCTAGGTACATTCTGTTAATGTTATTGATAAAATATCTTGGGAAAGATACCATATATGCCTTTTTTTATATATAACTACTCTGAACAATGTAATAAACATAATGTTCTTTCTACACAGCCAAGTCACCCACAACTTAGCCAGCTCATACAGGGGTGTGCCATTGCTTTGGTGAGTTTATTTTTACTACTTATTAGTGTGCAGCACAACGACATAAAAATTTACCTTGCACTTGCTTGATTATAGACCAATACCATAAACTTAGAGGTTTGGTATTAGACAGCTTTTAAGATAGCTTGTTTGGCTTGTTTGAACGTTATATGTTATCATGCTGCCTTCGGACTGCCCTGACCATTTGAAAACTTAGTATTTAGGGGACATGAATATCCCGTAAATTTGCTTTTCTGAGTATGTTGCCTTCTGCTTTGAAACTTGGGGATTTGGAGGCATTTAAAAGTAGCTGGAGATAGGACTGATTAGATAGCCATAAGAAAAATATTAAATAAGCTGCATTATCTTACTGGGTATGTACAACCAGTACATATGCAGTTAGTAACTTTAATCTTCTGGAAGTCCCAGGCTTATGAACACTGGTAGAAGAATATCTTTTTCAGTATTATTTCTCAATCTCTTTAAAAAAGTGAGAGTAAAGGCTTGTAGTTAACTTAAATTGCAGAACTATGATTTAAAAGAGGTAGGCAGGCTTAGCTGATTTGAGGAAGAAATGTGTGTTCAAAACAAAACTAAGTTTAGCACTGCTGATTTCACTCTGGGAATTGCTACGTGCTTGAATGGAGGCAGGGTTTTGTGCTGGTCCATTCTGTGCACAGATCTGCCCTCTCCTGGGGAGAGCTTTGTTCTTCTCTCTCCAGAAACGCTTAAAACTGAAGTGAATCTTTGAAGAAATTTGACTCTTGTATCTTATTTCTGTGGAAACATTTCCTGTCTGTTTTCTGAACAGTTCTTACTCCTGGTTCTGTTGCAGAAGTCAATTTCATGTTAAATAGATGAATGAGTTTTTATGTAACATTAGTAGCAGATGATGTCTCCATGTTTATGTTTCTGAGCAGAGCCTGGTTTGAAATGCTGCGAGATGTCTCTGCCTTGGCACTACGTTCACAACTGCTAGTGTGGGATAGCATCAGTCTCTGGTCATTTGAATTCCACATTTGAAAGCCCCAAAAAGCTTCAGGTAAATAAGAAGGACGGAAAGAGAGAGAGAAATCTAACTTTCTCAACTGAAATGGCATGTAACTGTCATGTTGCTTTTGCAGAGCTCCTCAAAGACAAGAATAGTGAAACTGTGTTAAATATAATCAGCAATTCTGAAGCTGATTACGTATATAGAGAAGAGAAACATTTTTTAGTTCGGGTAGGGTTCACTTTGAAAACGGCTTTATCTTTTATGAGTCAATTTGTAAATGTAACTGGGAGACAAATAAAACTGTACAGCAGAAGTGTTTCAAGTGTGTTCCTGGGATTTTGGCTCTTTGCAGGTGGGAATTGAACGGATGAATGGGCAGAGCTCATAGGATCATGAATAGATTCTTGTGGGGAGAAAAAAAAAAGAGAAAATTAAATCTTTAGAGAGAAATCAAGGAGAAAGAAAACTGGGTAAAAACAGGAGAAAAAGAAAGGGGGGGGGCTGATATTTTGGGAAGTAATTATGATCAAGCATAACAAAATGCTATCTAATTATATTTAAAACTGTGTGAGGTAGTGAAAATGTTTACTTGTGTGGACGCAGCAGTGTGTCCTTTATCTGAGAAGCTTTCCCTTGTCCTTGAGGTGTGGAACGTGGGGAGAAGAACACAGGAAAACTGGCAGGAGGACTCTGGATTTTTAGCTCCCTGCTGGACAAAACCCTCCTCTTTTATTTTTCCCTTCCCTTGTGGCTTAGGGACCAGCAGAGGGAGCCCGGAGCTTTGGTTTCCCTTGGGCCCTGAGTGATTTCTGTGCTTTAAAATCCTTCAAGAGGATTCTGCAGATTCATCCCTAACCAGCTCCAGGAGCCGTTCGTTGCCTTTGGGACCCTCGTTCCCGGGTACCGAGGCTGGGTGGAAATGCACTTCAGGGCCTTGCTGTCTTTAGGAGTTAATGTGGGAACTAGAAATAAAAGAGTTAAGGACAAAGTTATTCACTACCTCCTTTTCCATCTAACTTGCCCTGGGTTTCTTTGGCTGACATGTATTCTGTTTTTGTCCCGCGATAACTCTTCCTCCTCGTAGAGAGAAATACGCACTGTTTACTGATTGAAAAATGTTTTTTAATATGACAAGTCATTTTCATATTAAAAATGTTGCCTATGTCGAGACTTAATTTGAAATCTTTGTTTTGGTCTAAGGATCCTCCCTGTTTACTTAGTGTGTTGTATTTCTTTTGTTTGAGTGTTACCATTTAAGCTCTCGCAAAGCTTTATTTTTTGCTAACTACACTGTAGTGCTCAGTACTTTCTTTTTTTGTCAAACAGTATTTTTTCAATGAAATCATAAGACGGGTCAGTGGCCTCGTATCGGAAGCAACTTTCTTCATTACCATCCAAATAAAGGAAAAGACTTATGTGAGCAATCTGTAACTAATTTCAAGTGCCAACTGAACCTTTTTAACGTGAGAGAAGATGCAGTAAGTGAGTCTTACAGGCTTGCATTTGACCTTTACTACTTTTTTATTAAGAAAGTCATGCTGAATCAGCTGTGATATACAGTTCAAGACAGAAAATAATGGGCTGTAGGTTCCCAAGTCTGTCTAGTACTCTGGAAAACTTCACAATGTCTTCTAAGAGGGCTGGACTTGCTCTTTTTTTTCCATGAGAAAGGGGTTATAGCCCGACTTGCAGAAGACAGATCATTTTCAAGCTAATATTTAGACAGAAGGGACTTAAGAAAATCGAATGCATTTTCATTCAAAAAGATCGTTTACTGCTGGCATGACTGGTTACAATGTTCTAAATTTGTTCAGTGTATTTTTTTAACAAAATTCTAAAATAGTAAGTAGAACCTTCTAACAAACACACATCTAACAAAATAATGATCGGCTTGGTCTGATTTTCCTGCTATTTAATTCAGAATGTTTCAGCACAAGCAATTTTCCTCAAAATAGAGAACCTAAAGACAGAAGAAAAATAGAAAACAAAAACCGCATAAGGAAAGGTAAAACATTTCTTAAAAGTGCCTTTAAAATATTCATTATAGAATATTTAGGATTTTTTTTAAAAAATAGAAACTAAAGCTTTAGCATAATCTCTAAGCCTCTGTACCAGGTATTTTACTTGATCTTCATCATAGTCAGGACTCCCACAATCTCTTGTCTATTGCTGCAAAATAGATGTTAAAGTTAGAACCATTAAGCACTATTTCTAACACTGATGGTTTTTCAGTTCCAGTTACCAGTACGAATCCACAGCGTTTGACTAAAGTTCATAGGAAAAGCAGACAAGCCTGTTCAGTGTCACAAAT